GCATTTTGACACATGTGGATACCCCTTCGGCGCCAGCTGCGGTCGCAAGGCTGGAACCGACAAAAACACCCTGATAATGGACTGTGTTTAGACTGTTCTTCCCATTCCATGCAAGGCCACCTGGGTTGTCTGGAAGCCTGTTACTTAGCCTAGCAGGGCGAAGGACACTGTCTCAGCTGAACTCTGGACATGCACACACATACATATACACTGATATGCACACACTCATCCCCCCTCCCTTTCCAAAAGCCTTCGATGCTTGTTCCCTCCTGGGAACACGGTGGGTCTGAGCCCGCGCTGGAATGGTAGCGCTGGGCAGGATGGCTGCTGTGTTTGCTTCGGGGGTTCCTAATTCACTGCAGGGCAACCTGCACGTGGCGAATAAAGCCTTGATTGATTGATTGATTGATTGATTGCTCAGAATTACTGTTATTCATGCCTTTATTTCATCATGTCTAACTTATTGTAATTCATTGTTCACTTGTCTTTAAAAAAACAAACAAACCTTGAGCTCTGGGTGTTTTTCCACTTATTTTCAGACCAGTCCTTATGCCTGAGCACTTTCAGAGGAATAGTTTTATTTGACAAAAAAGTACCATTTGACATACATAAATCAGTATTTTTGCACCAGAAGGTGATTTCCAATGAGCTGTTAGCCAAAAAGCTGGTATAACTTAGTATAATCTACAGTTCTTGAAAAAATGAAGAAACTGAACAACAAGTGAGTGGCAGACCTAAAGAAAAAACAACAACAACAACAGCAACAAAACAAAAAACAACCTACAACGGATTAACTGTATCTGAAAGCATTGCCCTCAGAAATGAGAAAAAATATCTGACACAGTCGGTCCATCTACCGTTTACCATTTTCAAGGAAAGCTGAAATATGTAAAGTTACACAAGAGCTGCACTGAATATCAGTGGCCACAGGTCTTATGGAGAGATGAAACCAGATTTGAAGTTTTTGGTTCAAATAATTCTCTCAACTTCTTACTGAACAATATTATAGTTATGTTATGGACACAATGTCTCTCATCTTTCATTTCAGGGTATCCACATTCAAATTGGATGAAGGGTTTAAGAGTTTCAGCTACTTAACATATGCCACCCTCTTTGACTCAAACGCTATATGCTATGCAGATGTGGACAATTCATTCATTATGTCATTATCAATTAAGCAGATAAATGGCCTTGAGCTGATTTGAGGCGTGGTGCTTGCATTTGGAATATTTTGCTGTGAACAGTAGTGTTGTGCAGATCAATATTGAAGTTTTTGGTTCAAATATCAATTCCTCCAGTTACAGTTATAGTTATTAATGTTTTAGAATCGATTTTCATATTAAAATATCATTTTTTTAGTAATTTGGAGTAAATTTGTAGTTTATCACTAACAGGATAAGGGTTAGGGTTAGGAAAGAAACTATATCATTCGGATCATCTAACTTGGAAGGAACTACTTCCTCTTCCGACTTACATAGTGTTACGAAATCAGTTTCACCCCGGTTCTTTTTTATTCCTCCAGGCATCCAGAGACGGCACCGGACTCAGTAGTCATTTTCACAAAACCTTTATTCATCTTCATTTAAGCATGCATCTTCTAGAAGGGGAGATGTGCAAGGCCGGTGCAAATCTTCCCTCCTTTGTCTGTGAAACACAGTTTTGTAGAAGCAACCCTATCATAAAAACCCCCATGGTGTCCTGCAAACTCTGTGTGTCTGTGTGTGTATGCATGAGTACATGAGTGAGTGTGCATGTAGGTGTGGGTGCGTCGTACATCCTGGGGGTCATAAAAGTAATCTCCTCACCCAAGCTACACCAAATTCCTCTAGACAACATACAAAACACAGTTAACATATTACAAACACTGAGACCCCCACTCTGCATCCACTGGGCCATTGGCCTCTTGTTGTCTTACATTTACAGATAAGGTGGAGAGTCTCCTGCAAACCTACTTCTAAGATATAACAATTATGACCGTTTATTAGATTCAGGTTAAAGCATCAGCATCAGCAACCCCCAACTGTAGCTTCCTGTCTCCTTTTATGACAGCAGACCCCCAGTGTCCATAAATTCCTTTCCCTCTAAACAATTACACACACTCTCAGGCCTACAGCTAATAGTCTACAATAGTCATATGCAAAATAAGGCTGTATAAATGTCGCAGCCCTTTGGCGTGCACACTCAACAATGGCCAAGCGTAAATGGAGTCATGTATGGATGTATTTTACTTCCACAAACAGCCAAGACGTGGTTTGCGATACATGTGGCAAGACAGTGAGGTGTTGTGGCAACACCA